CTATCTCTGTATTCGGCCGGGCGAAGAGCTCCCTCAGGGGGGGCCGCCTCGGCTGGACTGGGCGCCTTTCCTTCCCCTCAGATACGGGGGCGCGCTTTCTGTGACGTCATCTCTGCGCGCTTGAGAGGGAAGGTTGGGGACGAGCTTCTTTTGGGCCGCTGAGTCACTGGCGAGGAAACCGGAAGCGGAAGGTGGTGCTACTTGGGGAAGAAGCAGAGGGAGGTGGGGGCACCGGTCACCCCTAATTGTAAGGGGCTGCCCCCTTTTTGAGGGAAGGCTCAAGTGGTTAAGACGCTGACTTTTGATTGCAGGATGGGCAGGTTGGCAGTTCGAGGCCCAGGTGCTGCAAGATGGGGTGAGCTCCCATCACTAGTCCCAGCTTCTGCCAACCTAACAGTTTGAAAGCATGCAAATGCAAGTAGATAAATAGGTACCACTTCGGTGGAAAGGTAAACAGCATTCTGTGCAATCATGCTGGGACATGATCACAGAGTAGTCTCTGACAACGCTCGTTCTTCGGCTTAGTAATGGTGATGAGCATCGCCCCCTATGGTTGGACATAACTTGTCAACAAGGAATACCAATACCTTTTACCTTTGAGGCATGACTCATTAGAAAAGACAATAATGCTAGGAAATGTGGAGGGATGTGGAAAGAGAGGAAGACCACATGTTGGATGGATAGAATCATAGTGCTGAAAGAGACCACAAGGACCTTTCAGTCCAACTCCCTGCCATGCAGGAACTCACAATCAAAGCATCCTGACAAATGACCATCCAGCCTTTGTTTAAAAAATCTCCAAAGACGGAGATTCCACCAGACTCTGAGGGAGTGTGTTCTACTGTCAAAAAGCTCTTACTGTCAGGATGTTTCTCCTAAGGTTGATGTGGAGTCACTTTTCCTGTAGTTTGCATTAATTGCTCTGGTTCCTATTCTCTGGAGCCACAAAAAACAAAGTTGCTCCATCTGCAATATGACACTCCTTCAAATATTTAAACAGCGCTATCATGTCACCCATTAACTTTCTCCTCTCCAGACTAAACATACCCAGCTGTCTTTTAAGTCGTTCCTCATAGGTCTTGGTGGTTTCCAGACCTCTCACCATTTTGGTCGCCCTCCTTTGGACACACTCCATCTTGTTCACATCCTTCATGAACTGTGGTGCACAGAACTAGACACCAGACCTCCCAGACTGTGCCCAGAACTGGACACAGTATTCCAAGTTCTGGGACTGAAT